ACGCTACTGTTTATAAGGGATGGGGAAGCTACATTTCCACTGTTCAGATAGGTTAAAAAACAGTCATCAGCTGCTTGAGGAGCCTGCTTCATGAAAAGGAAGTGGTAAATCCATTTAGTACATTATGCCTGTAAAGACTAGCATGCTGCCTGCAAGGAGGACCCTTCCAGTCCTACGATTCCATGACTACTTTGAAAATGTTGAAAGGATCTGCGAGTATTTGCTTAGGTAGCAAAATAGTGCCAGTTTGCCTTATTTTGATATCACTATAAAAAAAAAATCAATGACCATAAGTGCAAAATATATCAACACGTTAATTTTATTACTGTTCTCATTAGAGTAGCTAAATGTACATATATATTTAATAGCTATCAAGTGAAATGAAGTGGGTGTTCCTAAGAACTGTGATGTGTTCATCTGTATATGGTGCTTATCATTCAACTTATATCTGACAGTCAAATTTTCTCATGAGTCCAATAGATTTATAGTACCTAGATTCATGTCATTTTTGCATGGATGATAGTTATAAAAAAGTTTTACAATACCAGAAATATTCTTTTCCAGGTTAAAAAAATTGAAGCATCACATCGCAATTGTTTTATGGTTATTAATAAATAATGAGATCATGTTTCTCTAAGCCTATTGTACCAATGGACTCAAGAGATTTAATTGAATTTTTGACATCTCTATTTGAGTTTAAGCCCATTGGGACAGTTTCATCTCTATATGGTTGTCAGTTATTTCTATGGCTACAGAATTAGCCATATGTTCTACTAGTCTCTGGGTAAACAAGTAATCCAGCAAAGTGGCAGTCTGGCTAGTCAAGGCATTATTTGTTGCTAATTATTTCACGGTGCCCATCAGTGCGCTATGCTGCTCCTCACAATACAGAACAAGTGACATCCTTGCCCCAAGTTACTTACAAGCTTATATAAACTTGACACAAGGGGAGTAAAAGAAGGGGGGGGAGGGTGATCAGAGGCTGGAGTTTGTGAGGAACCTTCAGGAGCAAAATGATGCATGTATATCCCTATTTCGCCCTCTGTGTTTCGTAACTATTTCAATAGCCAGACCATCCCAACTAATCGCTGACTCACCAGATTCAGAGACCTTTACTTCCCCATCCCAGCAACAGCCTCTATTCCTAAAGGATAGATGTTGGAGACCTCCAACACTTCAAAATATATGGACATTAGGGTCAGCTTCTTGTTAGAATGCCCACAGCAGGTTGGTTACTCCTTTGTAGCATCATTTCTCCATCACCAGCTGGACACCTGTATTGAGTGAGGGAAAGCCAATAAGTTCCTGTTCGCTATATCAAGCTTTTAGATTTAAAACTACAGTATTCACTAGCGACTAACCATGAGATGGAGACTCCTAATGATTTGATGCTACAATTAAAGCTTTACACAAGGCCTTCCCAATACAAAAGTAGCCTCGACTCTGGAGGGTATCAAAGCAGCCTAAAATGGAGGGCTCCACACAGTCCACTCTCTTCGGCTACTTCAGTTGGGGTGGTATTAGAGGTGGCTAAATGATGTAGCTATCCAAAAAAAAAAAACCCCTCAAACATCTCTATTTTTTGGTATTCCTTTTTAATTGTGCTGTAAAAAGCAACAATACCTGGATTTTATTCATTAAAATAAATATCTTTCATTTTCAGAACCAGTACAGCTCAAGTATTTTTAAATTTAGATTCACTTACAGGAAAATTGCTGAAAGCAAATACATTCATCACTGTCTATTCCCCACAATAAGGAATCTAAAATGTCACACCAATCAGTTACAATTGCTGATAGTACAGCATCAATAAAAACACTCATTGACAGTCCAGCTCTGCAGCTAAAAAGGTATCAGCCGAGTACATCACATTTTTCACAAAAAGATGGGATAATAAGGCTAAGACCAGCACAATATTTCTATGTACAAAGCATTAAGTTAGATTAACCATTTCTAGTTGCTGTGATACTTAAGCAGCACATATATGACATAACACAGAAAACTCTTTGGAGCATAAGGATGTCAGCATTTGATAACACAACAAAAGCCATTTAAATTAAAATCTACATGTCAGTGCCAGCAATGATGAGCAGCCAAACCAGTGAACTACATATATTTATAAATAATTGCATATATAATAAATGCACTGCTTCCACTGGGCACAAATCTTTGCAAAATAATATCTCCTGGTACAATGAGAAAATGCTAAAACTGTCCTGGTGAAAATGCATTGGTGCTAAAATTCTAGCTAAAAGCTCTTAATATGGTGGAGGAAAACGTTAGGTTCAGGGACAGCCATAATTTCTATGCTATTTAATTAAAATGCCTTTATCTTCTCAGTACATATATCTACCTTTTGGAAAGGTTATTGTTTGAGCAAAGTAAATTTGATTGACTTCAATTACATCAAAATAAATCACTCACATTTTTTCTGAGACCACAGAGGATACATTTTCTTAGCAAACCAGAGAGAGATACATAGAAATCTGATTAGTTAACAAACAGAATGCGTCTCATAGCTTGAGACCTAATCAGTACCCCCAGAACCCAACCTGAGAACTTTTACTCCCATAGGATCAATTTGGTAGGTCCAAGAATGTTAGAGGAAAACGTGGGATTTAGTTTGCCTCGTTTTATCCTCTGTAGGAGTGCAGCAGAGACAGGGCCTTGTGCTCTCAACAGTGACCCATCTGGCCAAGAAGGGTTCAAAGGGAATCCCATCCAGTTCTTGGTTAAGGAGGAAGGTGGCTGCGACACAAGGCATGAAAGGTGAAGGTTATAAAAGCATGAGGCCTTCGAGTGAATAATTGACTTGAGGCAAAAAGCAGCTTGAGAGCAGTAATATCAGATGGGGGGGGGGGGGAAGGAGGGGAGTGACTGATGCCAGGCAAGCATTTTTACCAATCAGATTTCAGGGGTTTAGGCTTTCAAACTACTACAGGACAGCATCTTTATTATGAGATAGGCCACTGTTTCTGCTGAATATCAAGTGCCTCCGTTTGATTTCTCCTCCTTAGGGGAGGCAATGTGCATAGTGGCTAGAGCACTGGAGTGGGACGCAGGAGACAAGGGTTCCATACCTTGACTCTGCCACTGACTTGCTGGGTGACCTCTCCATGCCTCAGTTTCACCATCTGTAAAGTGGGCACCTTGAGATCTATGGATGAATTATTATTACTGCCATATCTTTGAGATGAGTGCAGTTCCCACAAATGGTCTTATTCCAATACACTGCCTGATTCTTGACTATCACCTACTTCCAACAAATGTGAAATAGATACTCCTACCCAGATTTTTTTTTTTTTTTTTAAACGTGACTTCACTCATATTGTAGTGTCAGTAATCAGACATATTGTTTGCATTGGGCAAGAAGCTGACGTAGTGTAATGGTCCCCAAAATAGAATATTTGGATTTAAATTTCTAACGACTGGCGTACGTGGGGCACAGACTACCACGTGAAGAGGGCAAATGCAACAGTTCACACACAAATGAACTGCTTGATTTGTGGCCCTGTTTCTGATCCCTTACCTGTTCTACACCAGTGTAACTTCAGAAGCTTCAAGAAAACTATTCAAGGATTTATGCCAGCATAAGAAGAGAGATAGACCCACAGTTTGGCATATCCACAACCTGGCTCATGCTTTGATTAGCTTTATGCCTCTTTAAGCTGTTTCACTCCATGAGTGTTTTTTATTGTGAGCCTAACTCATTTAGAACATTTGGTTTCGTATTTTGCCTTTCATATACTTACATTCCCCTAAAAGGTTTTTGGTGCAGTTGCAGCTAAGGACAAAACATAAGACTGAGATGAATTATTTTGCAGCGTACAAGATCCCCCATGATGCACATATGCCTGTCAGGAACCAATGCATTCTGTGGAAGCACCTGCTTTCACCAACTAAAGGGAAAGCACTTCAGCAGCTGAATATGGACAGAGAGAGAGGCTAGACAATGGGCATTTGAAAGAAACAGCTTAAAAAAAAAAAAAGTCAAACAAGTGATATTCCTCCATGGCATTTGGTCATCAAACCAACCTTAAAACAGATTCCCTGAAAAAATTATCTCTAAGAACAATTAGCCCAGACCATTGACAAATGTCACCAATATATTATTTTGAGATTTATACTATGTAAACAACCAGTCAAGGTGGCACGCGCCTTAATCCTAGCTACCTGGGCGGCTGAGGCTGGCGGATCGCTTGAGCTTAGGGGTTCTGGGCTGCGGTGTGCTATGCTGATCAGGTGTCTGGTGCCACTGACAGCCTGGCCAACGGGTGGCTGAAGGACTCGCTAGAACATCATGAACAATGTGTTGTGATCGGCGCTCTCTCTGTGAGGGCTGATTGACCGATTGATGTAGGTGACAAGGTGACTATGTAAACAAGGTTCCACGGGAAATTATTTAGGGAAAAAAAGATAAGTGCAGATCCTTGTTCAACACACCCATGTTAAATCTACACCAGCATCCTCAAGTCCTGAAATCTAGCAAAACCACAATGACACTTGCACATGGCAACAGCACGGTTCCACTTGGCCACCCTGTAAGAGATTTGTTTAGAAATGCAAATTCAGCAGAAAAATTCCTGACCATGGT